AGGTGGGGGTCCAGGTGGGGGAGGGAGGAGAACCATGAGGAGGTCCTGGGAGGCTGAGATGAAGCGAAGCAGGAGGAGGAAGGAGCAGTGGCCTGTTTTGCTCTGCTGTACATGGAGTTGAGACGAGCCTCCCAGGAGCTGGAGTCGAGGTCAGAGGTGAAAGGTCAGAGGTGAAAGGTCAGAGGTGAAAGGTCAGAGGTGGACCTTTCTCTCTTCTTAAAATAAACGATGCTCCGCGGCTTACCGGTCGGTGCTGAAGGTCGCTCCCAGGGCCGAGATGCTGAAGCTGGAGCTCGACAGGCTGTCCTGGTCTCTGGGGTGCTGCGGCTGAAGAGGGGGGCGTGACCGAGGGGCGGCGCACAGCAGGTGGTCTGGAAACATCCTGAAAGACAGATCATGACTCTGAAGTTCGCTCTGAAGTGCAGAGTGGGATTAGCTCGCAGACGAGTCAGCGCCATTGGATTGATGCAGTTAATCAGTTTAATGTTTCTCCAGCTGCGCCGGGAACCTCACACACAGGTTTCCCGCCGCAGACGAATCCACGCCGCCCTCAGCGTTTCTGCTTTTGTCACCATTCTGAGAACCTTTTCAGCACTTTATGGCTTTAATGTGACGCTTTTCACCTGAATCACCATAAACAGACACTGCTGCGCTTTCTACTCATCAAGATGTCTTCTAAGTCATTGCACTGACTTTATACCTGAAGTAGTGGTTGAGGTCGACGGCGATGGCGGCGTGGGACTGAGTGACGGCCACGGCTGTGCTCAGATCAGCCGACACCTGGAGGAGGCAGAAGGAGGGAGAGGAGGAGAAGGGGAAAGAGGCGAGCTCGTCCTCTGCCGGGCTGGAGCTCAGGTAGGCGGGCAGGCTAACGCTGGCCAGCAGAGCGCCATCGGAGACGCTGCACACAGCTGGAGGGGGTGGAGTTAAAGAAAAGGATGTATGGACAAAAAGCAGGCGCTTTATTTCATGCATTCATGAAAGTTACACCGCAAACAATTTGAGAGGAATGTATTTAAATGATTCATAAAAAGGAGAACTCCATCGTCGATCACATTGTTGGGGGATCATCTGCAGGACTTCAGTGCACATTTGCCCTGATCTCGTGCTATGACGCACTTACTGGTATTGTGACCTTCTGCACACTCATGCTGACCTGTTTAGGACGGTGAGCTATGTTCTCAGTGTCGTATGTCACAGCGTGCTCATTGTAACACTGTGTGTAGCAGCGAGACCGTGAAGGATACATATGAGTCCAGTGGAGCTGAGGGCAAACAGGGTTTCCATGGAGACGCAGTGATGGACAGCAGAGCACGAGACGCTGTCGGCCAGCTGGACTCTGCAGCAGGATAACGTCTGAGGCTCCTCCTCCTCCTGCTGCCACTGTAGCTGCAGCAGCCAATCAGAGTTCAGCAGAACGCAGCAGCGGGCGGTCACAAAGGACAACACCTGCACCACCTGCAGCTCGCGCACACCTGGGAGCAAACACTCGGTCAGCTAATGCGACGTGTTAATAGCAGGCGGGTGGTCTAGGCGGTTTTGGTACTCACTGGGGTCCTGGTCTCTGATGGTCTGCAGCAGGCGGTCTGCAGGATACTCACACACACGGAGCACGGAGGTGAAGGCCGACCGCTCAGCCCTGACCTCCAGCAGCTTCAGGTCACCCTGAGATCCCACAGCCAGCAGCCTGAAGCCGCCGACTCCCCGAGAGTGGACGGACACCTCCTCCCACGAAAAACTGTGAGCAGAAAGAAACTTTTAGAAAATCTGATGTTTGCCTGCAGCCCTCACTAACCGACACAGCACAGGGAGGACGTCTGCTGACCTCCAGCTGCAGCATCAGCTGTCTTTGGAGGCAGCTGCACTCCACAGAGAGCCACACACTGCAGTGCTTCAGCATACAAACACATGTTTGAGTAATACGTGCATTTATTTTCAGCCCATTTTCTTATTGTGTGTGTGTCACATTACCCAAATCATCAAATAGTCAGAAAGTGAAATGTTAGCAGTGACTGGACAGTGCCGGGCGGAGCTCTGTTTGATGGGTTCTAGTTTAAACAGAGGGCGTCTCACACTGACGTGTTTCAGATCCGACGCATTTTAATGTGAAACCAGTTACTCGGAGATTATTCAGGTTTATCACAGTCACTATCTGTGCAGTTCCTGCTGACTCACTCTCGGTAGCTGCCCTCCGCTGCAGCCGGAGAAGCCTCTCTGTCCGCCGGGTCCCACACCACCAGCTGCCCCCGGACCCCCAGACATCCGAGCAGGGAGCCTCCAGGAGCAAGCTCGGCTTTCCGTACGTCCGCTACATCACCACAGTGCTGATTCTCCGGGATCACAGCTACCTCCGTGGACCCAGCCTGCAGCCGCTGATCCGCTTCCAACATCTTCGCGCGGTGAACCGGGACCGGAGAAACCGGATTAAAGGTCTAACTGTGAGCTAAGAAGACATTTTAGTTTCAAAAGAAGAATAAATCTGCTGTCAAGGCTCTTCGGATACTTCCTTTTCTCATGTAAACAGCTGCTCGGGTTCAGTTGTCACGTGTGCTGCCTCTACTGTCAGCTGACCTCCGCGGAAAGTCATGCGCAATAACGTCATCGTGGATCGATTGCTTTTCCCTGGACCCAGCTCTAGAATGCGACACGCTAATTGGCTGAGACTAACACCGTCGATTTGTATACAGTTTAGCAGTTAGCGCTCATGCTAACTGTAGCTGATTGGTTCCATTGTCGCAGATAGAGATCTGCTAAAGGCGCGCTGCTGTACGCTAACGGCTGCCTCTTAGCTTTCCTGCCGAAGTCACCGCGAAAGGTCCCGTTTATTATGGCGTTTTCTAAAACATGGAAGCAGTGTTGAGCCTCGTGTCGTTAACTGTCACGAAGGTTTTACAGTTCTCCGGACAGACGGACAACTGGAATGCCCCGAGGGTCAAAAAGATGGAGGAGAAAGCGTTAGAAGTGTACGGTACGTTCAGCCGGTAATGGAGGCTAATGGAGGCTCTGGTCTCATAAACAAGGCTCTACTGCACTGTCAGCTAACCTGTCTACGTACTGTAAGTCTGTAAACCCACGGCCAAGATACTGACAATAAATACCAACGACTGTAAATAATGTTAAATACATACAGTCAGTGATGACTTCCGCCACACTGTAAGAAAAACTATCCGAGTAAGAGTTTTCTGTCAGTTTTGCTCGCAGATGATTAAATCACGCGCCGAAGTGTCGACCGTGTAATGAGCTTTAGCAGGTGTTATAGATTAGTAGTAAAAACGTAAACTGTTGAAGATCAAGTTAAATGTGAGATTATTGACCTGGAGTTTGGTGCGAC